TAGTAAGCAGATTTGGCTGAGGCAATGCAGTCCTTATAGAACAAAACATGATCATTGTGCATTTCTTTATGTACAGTAAGTCCGGTTTTCTTGAATAGACGTTCGAGTTGGCGTCCTTTAGCTTTAAGGTGACGCAGGTCGGAGGTAAACCATGGAGCTGAACGGGAAAATGAGACAGTTGGATGTTTAAGGGGAGCAAATATGTTAAGAAGGCTATGAAGGTTGACATTATAATGACAAACGAGTTCATGAGGGGTTGAGGAGCTGTGGATAGATGGAAGGTCATGGACGGCAGATGAAAAAACAGCTGGGTTGATATTACTAATTTTCCTAAAAGTGATATTACAAGAGATACAGGTTTTGGAAGCGGTTATGTGTGCATCAAAAGAAATAAACATATGATCAGAATGGGGAAACAATGTGGCTTTACAATGGGTGGGGGTAATGCCAGAACAACAGAACAAATCCAGGATATGACCTTTGGAATGGGTAGGAAATTTTATGTACTGTAGAAGCCCAAAACTTTCCAGGCAGGAGGTAAATTCTCTGGAAAGAGGGATTTTATTATTGTCCATATGAATATTGAAGTCACCAGCAATGATCAGATTTGGAGAAAGTACAGAAAAATGAGTGAGAAGAGCAGAAAATTCATTTAAAAACAGTAAGAGATAATGGTAGGCAACGGACTGTCCAGTAAGATTTAAATGTTACTGTGGCATGTACTGTAATCAAAGTGGATCTTAATCTGTAAGGAAAGAAAGCTGCTAAAGCTAGCCTCTGTTGACTCATAAAACTGATCTAAAAATATGTGTGTAATGTTATGAACAGTAAAAAGTGCCTAGCATTTCAGCACAATTTAAAATATGTAATAATTGACTTGTTTAATGGCAGCCATTTTGATAGCAGGTTAAAAAGAAATATTGGTATTTAATCAAAGCTATTTGTGTAAGTGTAATGGAGCAGGTTTAGACATTTTCTTGCAGGTGTTTGTGTGTATACTACTGTGCAAAAAAGATTTTGAACCAACCCTCATTTCTTTATAATTTTCGAGGGAAATTGAAAGTAGGGGCAGCAAATTATTTTCTTTATATATTGTCTCGCATATTTGCAATATGCAATGCAGTATATAAGGCAAAAATAGAGTTTGTGCAGTTCTCAAAAGCTTGAAAATCTATATCGTGTGTATATATGGTAATATCAATATGGTATAATGAATTTGTATAACCATTTTTATTTTTTAACACTGTCTGAACTCCCTTAGGCAAACCTTCTTACCATTTATTTAAGTAGTCTTCAGGAATAGTTCTCCAGGCTTCTTGAAGGACATTCAAAGCTCTTCTTTGGCTGACTTTTGTTCCATTCTCTGGCAAAATGATCCCACATTGCTTCAATAAGGTTGAGATCTGGGCACTGGGGAGGCCAATCTATGACTGACAGTTGGGCTGTGCGATATGATGAATTATATTAGAGGATGATATTGAAACGCTTATTGTTTCATATTTATACTCTATCACAAAACACAGTATTAACTGAAATATTCTTTCATTGGCACCACACAAGAACCAGCCAAAAAAATTTTAGAAGCTCGTTATATGATTTTGGGCACTGGTCAAAACATTCGATTCCAGGTACATAACTCCCAGCCGAAAACACTTCACCATGAGTCGATTTGCCTGTTTTATATTACGAGTGTCGGGTAAGTATTGGAGGAAATCAGCAACGTAGCATACTACGCTGGAACAACAGATATGTGGATGAGCCGAACAACACATCCTTGTAAGAGTTTAATGGTGCACTGCATCCGAAACCGAACACTCTGCAGTCAGTGTCTGCAGAGGTTAGTTTCTTGACAACCATACAGGGACAGTAATGATAGCTGGAGGGCTCAGGGAAGCGCTTTCATGAGTGCAACGGGTCATCTAGTTTGTGTCAATACGCCATGTGGTTAACGCCATGTGAGGTTCATATTTGTTTCACTTTTGATTTAATTTAAATGTAACAAGAAATATTACTTCTGTTTATATAATCAACACATATAATCACAAAATCTACAGAAAATGTACTATATTGTGATATGTGTCATTATCGGGATAACAGATGGGTTATATCAGGAGATTTTTGGTCATATCGCACAACACTAACTGATAATGTTGCACTTTTGGTTTCTCTATCCAGTTAAGTTTTTACTTCATTGGCAGTGTGTTTGGGATCATTGTTATGCTGAGAAATAAAGCTGTCAGTCATCTTTCAGTTCATATTGCATGGTGGATCAAAATCTGCCAGTGTTTTTCTGCATTCATAATTCCATCATTTTCGACACAATTCCCAGCACCATTGGCTGAAATGTAGCCTCAAACCATACCAGAGCCTCACCGAGTTTTACAAATGGCTGTAGGTACTCATTTTTGTACCTCTTCTGACCATGAAAGTGATGATTTGAACAAAAAATTTGAAATTTGGATTAATCGTTCCATAAGACCTCTTACCACATATTTCATTTCAGTTCATGTCTAATTTGGGATAAATCAGCTTTTTTCTCTCTATTTTTCTTGCTTGAGAATGCCTTTCTGACAGCTAGGGCCAGTGAAGGAAGTAGAAATAAATTATGTGTTTTTTGTGACAGGCTGCTTTTGCTTTGTTTTTTTCTTTTTCTTTAAGTTGTCTGTTATATGTAGACACAACACTGGGTCATCCCTTGACTTGGGTACTTTTTTTATGCTTCAATGATTCATAGGTCAGTGTTAAGTGGACAAGAAACAACAACAAAAAAAATCCTTTGAAAATGGACAGGTACAAGGACTGGACTAAATTAATAGTTGAGTGAAAAAGCAGCTAATATCCAAAGAAAAGCTTTGAAAGGCCTTCAGAGAACCTGGAGAACTATTGCCCAAGAGCCCCAAAAAGTTGATTCATCCAAGTGACTTCTTTAGTCTCATCCTTTTAAACAGTACATTTGCACAATAACTGAAACTAGCACCACTGACGAACAATGGGCGT